ATATGAGAATATAAACAATTTCCAGACAAATACACTCACCGTCTTCCTTCTATTACGAACTGAATAACACTCTACCTATTGCTAACTGCTGCAGATATATTCGTCTACCGATTTCATAGTGTGCCAGGCATTTCTTTTATATTGAACAGTGCGAGTTACCCCCACCATGAAACCGTGAAAGGTTCACATTGCTAGTTGCTACCCACTAGAGATGCCTGACGTCACAGCCAAGTCCACCTCCCAGCTGGATGCGATCACAGATGTCGATACGAACAGGCATTGGTAGTTACGGTCTTGGAGAGGGCAGACGTTAGCACAGTCCTCGGTCGCCTGCGTGTCACCATCGATAGCGAGGCTAGAGCGATGCGTTACGTCATAGCCTTCACGCATCGAGAGAGGTGAGATCATACCGATGAATACGCATTACTCAGCCACATGCTGTGGAGTGAACATCTCGCTCTCCAACCGTTGAACGGTTGCTGCTATGACGTCAAACCACTACTAACTTGGTGGGCTCACACCGAGAGAACATTCATTATTTGAAGGATCTTCGAAGTATGCAGACGTATGTTTGTACACAGACACGCACATGATAAATCCTGTACCTTGCATTTTACCGTGTATGCAATCTATTCTTCAATGAAGGATATCTTCACCGGGCAAATTCCAATGTGTACTTTGTACAAGAAAGTTTTTACTCAGTACACATGAAGGATAATCTGACCCAAGGTCAACCCACCCCCCACACCCCAACCCTCCCCCACCTCCAATCTAATTACATCATTACGTCGTTAATGACGTCATAGGGGTGGGGGGGAAGCATGAGTTGGACATGTTGTTCAAGGTCACCCTAATTACACCATTACGTCGTTAATGATGACATAGTGGTGGGTGTAAGCATGAGTCGGTCTAGGTCATTCACCCCGCGTGACGTCATACTTGTGGGGGGAGACATGAGTCGGACATGTCGGTCAAGGTCACCCTAATTACACCATTACGTCGTTATTGACGTCATAGTGGTGGGGGGAGGCATGAGTCGGTTTAGGTCATTCACCCCACGTGACGTCATAGTGGTGGGGGGGAGGCTTAGAACCTGCTCAAATCTCCTACACTCGACCTATCGTTGTGGAACTGGTGAATTATAGATTGAAAAGCAATATTTTCCAGAGTTCAGATACCTTGAAGAATTCAGAATTATATTTTGCCAACGACTATATTGCGGAAGATAATAGAGGCAGAAAATTTCTAAGCAATAAACTTAAATTAGCACGGATTCAAGATCCCGAGCAACGTTAAAAAAAATCTTCTATACTTCAACCATAACTCGTATTCCATCGACTCACTCAAGGCGAACCCAGTGAAGGAAGCAACTTCACTAAATCCTCCTGCTGAGATATCGGCTCCTACCCCTAAGGACAATAAATTAGAGAAGAGATCGTCTGGGAGGTCAAAGAAATAAAAACTATTCGTGTTTGTTATTATTTGAATTCATTGATTGTATTGTATTTATTGTTGCTATAATTATAATTGATTGATAGGTTTCCTTTTGAGTTCATTTTTGGTATATTAGATATCGATGTATATATATGCTTTTTTCCTCCCATAGGCCTTTTTGACATGTAAGCAGGTCGGAAATATGAAAATAAATCTATGCCGTCTGAATAAAAGACTATTGGTCGCTCATTATAATGATTTCGAAAATTTAATTTTGTCAAATGATTTGATATCATCACTCTGAGTGAAACTTGACTGAACAATAATTATCGTACTATAGATATTTGTTTATCTGGTTACAATGTCGTGCGAATGGATAGGAGCGGAGGGACCAGGGGAGGAGGGTTGGCTATTTATTTGAAAAACACTCTCAAATTTTCTAAACTTCCTAACAATGATAACATTGAGGATTTGTGGGTGAGTGTGAGGTTGCAAAACATGAGTTTTGCGGTAGGTTGTATTTATAAGCCGCCTAAATTGAAACTGACAAATTTTCTCAATGAATTTGAAAATAGTTTGATATCAGTTGTACCTCAATTTGTTGAAATCATCTATATGGGCGATTTCAATGTGGATTTAGCAAATTTCAATAGTTTTTCTATTCGGAAGTTGAATTAATTATTTATTAGTATTGGGTTGAAGCAGATAGTTAACTTTCCTACAAGAATATCTCAGAACACCTCTTCTACTTTGGACCTGATAATTGTTCAGATCAATGCCAAGTTACAAATTGTAGTTCTCTTCGTGTTCCACACATATCTGACCATGATTCGGTTTATTTCACCCTCAACCTGATTGGTGAAAGTGAAAGCAACAAAATTATTAAGTACAGAGACTTTAAAAATATTGATGAAGATCAAATATATACTGATTTACAGTCAATTCCGTGGCACCATATTTATGGCTTGGATACCATTGACAAAAAAGTAACTTTTTTCAACGAGAACATGAACATCTTACTGGAATTACATGCGCCTTTCAAAACAGCTTTCATTAGAAAAAAACATAAACCGTGGTTTACCGGGGATATTAAAATTATGATGAGAGAACGCAACAAAAAACTCAAAAAATTCAAACGAACCAAGAACATTCGCGATTTTGAAGAATACAAACACCTCAGAAATTTCACTGATAAATCAGTAAAGAGGGAGAAAAGAGCCTATTTGAATTTTCACATAAGCAGGCATACTAATAATGCATTAAAAAAACTAAACATATATTCTAAGAAAAAGAAAAACGATATCCCAGATCATCTTTTAGATGTGAATGACATAAATGATTTTTTCCTAAACTCAGTTCCCATTGCCGGTGCAGCATCGGATTTTGTACTACAGTACTACAGTGGTCAACTTGTTGGTCCCAATGTAAGTTGGAGTTTTAGCAGGTGCTGACGGTTTCATTATGGGCTTCATCATATTATGTTGTCCATTCATAATTGAATATATCTCTCACCTCTTGAACTTCTGCATTGAATATTCAGTATATCCAATTCAATGAAAATTGGCTAATGTGATCCCATTACCGAAATGTGAGGGAGTCAGTGAGCTCAAAGACCTGAGACCAATCAGCATTTTACCTATTGTCTCAAAATTATAAGAAAGAAGTATAGAAGATCAACTTGTGGAATTCTTGAATTCAGAAAAGGACATAGCTGCGTGACAGCCCTTCTGAATGTGACAGATCGTATCTTTCAGGCAACCGACTCGGGAATGATTGCTGTTCTAGTTCTCTAAGACTATTCGAAAGCTTTCGATGCCCTAAATCATTCTACGCTGAAACATATTCTACTATATTGGACTCTCAAAAGAATCTGTTATGTTTTTTGATAGCTATCTAAGTGGTCGAAAGAAACGAGTTGTACTCAATACTAGGGTTTCTCAAACAAGAGAACTGACATGTGGGGTTCCATAGGGATCCATTTTGGGGCCAATTGTCTATGTAATTTTCACAGCATTTTTCAAAAATGTTGTCTCGCATTGTTATCTACAAATGCATGCGGATGATACTCAGGTGATGTACTCCTTCCACCCTTCAGACATAGTGAATGGTTGTCAGAAAATCAACGAAGACCTTGATAGAATTTTCAAAATATCCAAAGATCATTCTCTCTCATTGAATTCAAACAAATCTAAGGCAATGCTGTTCGGGAGGCGAAATGACAGACTTCTTCACAAAAAAAATGTTTGTGTTACTATCAATAACATTCCTGTACAGTGTTGTGATGTGGTGAAGAATCTTGGGCTCTGGATAGATTACTCCTTACGATTCGAAAAGCATATATCGGAATGCATTCGTTAAAGTATCTGGAAACTGAAAATTTTGTTTGGATCTCGAGCAACTTTGAATTTTAATCTTAAAAAAAATGCTTTGCGAGTCTCTAGTTCTTTCCACTTCTACTTATTGCGATACGGTCTATAGCTCTTACCTCACGGCAACATCTACGCAGAAAATCCAGAAAATCCAAAACTATTGTCTCCGCTTCATCTATGGTATTCGTAGGCGTCAACCCATCAGTCATAAGCTACGAGAAGCCGGGTGGCTAAATATGAAATCTCGCCGAAAACTTCACTGCTCCACCTTATATCATAAAATAATTACTACCCAAACTCCCTCCTACCTTTATAGAGAGATTGTGTTCCGCACTGACGTTCACAATCTCAATATAAGATCGAAAGGTACACCACCAATCCACAAATAATCATTGTTTGAGAGAAGTTTTTCCCATAATGTATCGACCACTTACAATGCTATTCCAAATGATTTTAAGAATATGAAACTCTCCTCCTTTCGAAAACATTTGTTTGAATTTATGAAATCCTCTTATATCTAGAATCAGCACATATATCTATAGTCTTACTCAATTTTCATTAGTTGCCTGTTGTTCTTTTGTTCAGTTTGTCCAAAGGTTGAGTGGAAGACCATCTTTGTGCACTCCAGGTGCTCAAGATGTACTCCGCCTTTTCGGTTTGTATAGGAAATGTTGAAGCGTATTTGATAGGTTTAATTTTTTTGTAATCATGTGTTCTACTGAATAATGAATATTATTATTATTATTATCATAACTATTATATTGATGTGGGTAGTTGTTTCGAAAGTATTTTTTTCTTTTGTTTAATTCATTGTTTATGTGAAAGAAGTTGTTTGGAAGGGGCTTTTCTTCCAGTTTGTGCCTGAATGTTATTTATTTCTATGAACCATATAGTTTTGTATAAAGAGTATTTTGAAATTATTTGCTTTCTTCCTTTCTTTGAAAGATTCCTATATTTTTTTGTATAAGCAAAAACCATTCTTTCCCAAAAACTATTCGTTACTATTCTATCCTCCTTACCAACCTGTCCACAGAATAAAATATTTGAACATATAAAACAATTAGTTTTTACATATATAGTAAATTGAAAGCAACATCACCGTCCTTCGTCTTCACTTATGATTGCCTGTTTATTATTCAAACAATAATATCACGTGAGTGAACATAGTTTACATTTGAATTTCTGAAATGTGTATTTATCATGGCTTCAAAAAACTGGTCAGACAAGATTGAATATAGTGTTGCAATACGAAAGCAGGTCGATTCAGTTAATTTTTCCAAGTCGAGTCAGTCGGCATAAGTTGATCAACACAGTTAATTGTTATTTATTCATATTCACACAAAGTGACAAGGTCGATCAAACAACAAACGTTCAATTGCTGTATGTGAAAAGTGAGAACAAAACAATTGAAGTACGATTCAAGATCATCCAGATATGTCTTTAGGTTTATTTACAGAGCTGGTCAGTCGAGTCTTCATTATCATATGTGTTCCGCTATGACTCTGCTGCTGCTTCTCTTCCTCTTTGCCTTGGGATTGGTAGTACCTTCAGTTAATTCAAAACAGTTACGTGAGTATTTTATTTTTCAATCTGTAATTTGTTTATATTTACTAGCTTAATTGATACCATGAGTATGATATATTCAGTACGACTGTATTATCAATTCAGTTGAACTGAATAAGTGCACAAAAATATTGGAAAGTTATAACTTTTTCGTCATCATTATACAGTGATATCAAAACATCATGAATATGGTAACTTTCTACATCATTGAATATTACGGGAATTTCATCCCAACAACAAACCATTATTTTCAACACCTCGACACGTGTTTCGATTACCAAGTAGATCCATAGTTATTTCATAAACTACACCTCACGATTTGATTTCAATATAATAGCATCTACTGTTACCGCTTTGACGAATAGAAACGGTTCCGTCGATGAAGTCACGGCATTAACTCTATTTCAAACATGTGGTTGCAACTAGGTCTAGTGAAATTATCCTCTGGGACTTTCATCACACTTTTCAGTAATTGAACGATATAGAACTTTTCATTATCATAAATGAACCCTATATTGAGGGTCATATCTTAACGTTTCTGGTATTTCTTCTTGCATTTCCGAAAAATTTTCTATCGATAATGGAGAAAACTGTTATACTATTTCTTCCAGAAAAACTTTTGTATACAACTTAAAAATAATGATTATGGTATCATTTTTAAGTTTCTCATGCGTATGATGAATAATATATTTTTCAAAGAGAACAAAATTCAGACCAGTAGGCCATGGTCGAATAGAGCTTGAAGTTTGAAACATTTCGTCTGCTACTGCGGCAGATTTCATCACTGGTATGTGCGTTCACTACGAGGACGAAAGTCTCAGCAATGAACGACCTTCGTGCTCGCAGTAAACGCACATACCACTGATGATGTCTGCCTCAGTAGAAGACGAAACGGTTGGCACTTCGTCCCTTTCGACCACGGCCTACTAGCTGAGATTTTGTTCTCTTCAATCGTGACTTTGGCCGTGAAAGCCTATGTTCTTATTATGTATCTTTTTTTCTAATACCAGTTGTCTCATATTCCGTAGGTCGTAACCTTCCCGTTGAAATATTAATAATGAAGACTTCAAATATAACGACGACACTTCTGCTATTTTTTACTGGGTTTCTGAAAACTTCCATGAAGTAAAGGGTGAATATTGATCCAATTTTTCCCGATCAGAGGTTATTCCGCAATTGATAGGTTACAGATTGTCTGCAGAAATAATTATAATGATAACCATAAATCTAACGATCATATTTTGTGTTTCTTCTACTATCATCCCGTTTCTTTAAAAGTTTTTGATGAATATGGAATAATTATCTATATTGGGTATTGTATGTAACGAATTAAAGAATTTACTGTCTTAAACAAATTCATTTCTAACAATATTTCAGTAGCGCAAACTAATTCATTTACAAAACTTAGCACTTAATTTATTTTTACTGTTTGGATCCTTCATTTTTCGCTCGACTCGCTTTCTGAATTTATACTCCCTCTCTGAACGGGAAGCCGTCCTTTTATATCGGTAACGATCGTTCTAGATTCATCTAGTGATCTCTGCACTCGCCTAGTATTTTCCCGGCCAGTCAGACTGCTTCTTTCGCGGTGATGTCATGTTTATTCGCTGGGTGAGATATAGGTCAGGGCCGGCTTCAGATTCGTTACATTGCCCCCTTCTTAAAGACGTTTCCCCCCGAACTTTCATCCTTGGCGTGTGTCGATACCTGCAGGACTCCCCATATCTGCACTGTGAAGTTCGATGAAAGTAACACTCCATAGTCTTCATGCTCAGTCGTGGAAGATGGTTACCACACACCAAAATCTTGATGCCGCTGGATCTGAAGATAATTTCCAACAAGCTTCTCACAATTCTCCAGTCCAGTCTGTCAAGCCCAGGGGCTAATATCGAGATTGCCAAGTCCACGAGTATCTGGTCAAGCTTCGTGTCCCTTAATCTGGTGAGACTCCTCCAGGCATCTTCATAGGACCATTTGTGTCGAGAATGCTTTTTGGTCACGAAGTAGGAAACGTTTCTCTGACCCTTCTTTAACTGTAGCACTCCTCCGACTTCAGGATTCTGTTCTTGCAATGTTTGAAGCTGACCGAATTTCTTGTTGAATACCACAGCGATACCCCTGGACATTTGGAGATCTTCCGCCACGCAGTGAGCTAGTGCGTAATCAACTGAAACCTTGAAAAGATCTCGTGGTTCTTCTTGAGTTACCCCATTTTCGAGTATAAGGACATGAATTTCTGGAACGTCAGTTCATCCTCTGGTGATCTGAAGGCGCGAACTTGGTCGTGATTTCCAGCATAAGGAGCCAATCTATTGAAATGGACGACCCTAGGCTTTCCTCAAGGTGGCTTATGGATTCGGTAGACGAGGTCATTAATCTTTTTCATGATTTGGTACGGACCCTCTCACGAGTTCCGCAACTTCGGTGATAAACCACGGCGTCGCTTAGGATTGTACAGACAAACTAGGTCACCGGTTTCGAATCCTCCAGCATTCGCCTTGATGTCATAGGCCTTCTTCATCTTATCGCTGGCACTCCGAACGTTCAGACGGACTCGTTCATGGATGTCGTCCATTCTCTGCCGAAGCTTGCTGACATAGTCTTTCCTCGCAGTGTCTTGTTCTGGCGGCGTTTCAAATTTCAGATCACAAGGAAGCCGCAGCTTTCGGCCCATTATGATACTGGGAGGGGTTTGGTCAGTTGACTCGTGCACTGCCGAACGATAGGCCAACAGGAACAGGTGGAGGTACTGGTCCCACTCTCTTTGATGGTCAGAGAGCATGGACAAGTGGCGGTTTATGGTTTCATTCATTCGTTCCACCATTCCATAGGACTGTGGATGTAAGGCTGTGGGTCTGGTCTTTCGAATTTCCAACAGTTTACATATTTCTTGGAACAAGTTGGACTCGAAATTTCTGCCCTGGTCCGAATGCAGCTCCAATGGGACACCGAATCGACAGGACGTCAGAGACGGTAAAGGCTTCCTGGTTGGGCAGGACGTTGGCTGCCCACTTACTGAAGTAGTCCATGGTTACCAAGATGTATTTGTTTCCATCGTGGGACTCTGGGAACGGGCTGGCGATGTCGATAGTGATTCACGCAAAGAGACTACCCAAGTTATACTGGCGCATTGGAGTTTCGGTCGTATCCGAGGTCCGTACTGGCAGCACATACAGCACATTTTCTGCACCAGTCCTTGACGTCGGCTTGACATCGGCTTGAATTAACACAGTGAAACCGTTGTCTTACTATTTGGAGGATCTTCGTTACTTTCAGATGTCCTTCAGTGACTCCATCATGAATTTCTTTGAGCCCCTTCCGTCGTCTGTTCCTGTGTACCACTGTCTGGCGCCTTTCTTCTCCACCGTCTTCAGACTCCAACACCCGCTTCAGAACCCCGTTTTCCATGGTGAGGGAGTTCCATTGGGTCCAGCAGGACCTAACCGCTGGTGAATAACCTGCTACCTATTGCCACGATGGTATTTGTTTTTTTTTTCATCCGATGACTAAACCATGATCTGACTCTTTCTCTTGACATTCCTTGATCCTATTGTCCTCCCAATTGTCTACAGCTGTAGTTCTACAAATAGCTGCTTTCTTCTTTTCTGCTCATCGGCAATGTGAGCAGTCATCGGGGCATGGTCTCCGTGACAGGGCATCTGTGTTTTTATGGTTAATTCCAGGTCGATATTCTGTTTCGAAGTCAAATTCTTGAAGTCTATCAATCCAGCGCGCTACTTGGCCCTCGGGATTTTTGAACTGCAGAAGCCATTTGAGAAATACCTGGTCCGTTTTCAACAGAAATATTGTTCCATACACGTATTTGTAGAAATGCTCTTCACCTTTGACAACGGCCAACAGCTCTCGCCTGATGACTCAATAATTGCGCTCTGGTTTACTGAGCGTTTTGCTGAAGTAGCCACTAACTTTCTCCTGTTTATCCTGCATCTGAGAAAGGACTGTTCCAAGTCCAACGTTGCTGGCGTCCGTATCTAAAATGAACTTTCCGTCCGGTAGGGGATAGCTCAAAACAGGAGCGTTGATCAAAGCTTTTTTCAACTTCTTCAAAGTCTTGGCATTCCTCAGACCACTGGAACTGGATCTGTCCTTCTGTGAGTCGAGTCAATGATTTGGCGATGTGGGCAAACCCCAGCATATATCGGCGGTAGTGGGTGCATAAACCAAGGAATCTCCGAAGCTGATGTTTGTCCTTTGGAATGGGCCTTTTCTTAACTGCTGTGATCTTTTGTTCGTCCACTGCCACTTCTTCCCCAGAGACAACGTGGCCTAGGTAACGGACATCTTTCTGGAACAGATGGCATTTCTTGGGACTAAGTTTCAATTCAGAACTCCTCAGATGCATGAATACCTCCTCCAGATTTTTCAAGTGATCGTCAAATGATTTCCGACCACGATTATATCGTCGGGATACACTAGACACGTCTTCCATGAAGGTCCCTTGAGAACCGTCTCCATCAATCTCTCGAAGGTCGCTGGAGCATTACAAAGCCCGAATAGCATAACCGTGAATTGCTACAATCCTGAGCCAATGGTGAAAGCTGTCTTTTCTCGATCTTCTGGGGCCAATTCAACTTGTCAATATTCACTCTTCAAATCCAAAGTCGAGAAAATCGTAGAGCCGGCTAGCGTGTCTAGGGTGTCGTCGATTCTTGGAAGAGGGTAGCTGTTTTTCTTCGTCACGTTATCAAGCTGGCGATAGTCCACGCAGAATTTTGTCGAGCCGTCCTTCTTCCTCACTAATACGATTGGGGAAGACCACGGGCTGTCAGAAGGTTCGATGACTCCTTCTTTCTCCATATCGCTGACTATCTTGTCTGCTTCTTCTTTCTTGGCCAGAAGGGAGTCTCCTGGCTGATTGCCGGATTGGTTGGACATTTCCAGTGTCGATTCCATGCTGAACCACATTCTTAACTTACTCCCTCAGATACGATCGGTGAGTTGGTGGTATGTCCTTGGAGGAAATGTCAATCAACTTCTCCAACTCTTTAGGCAAGTTGTTGGCTTTGCTGACACAACTGCGTACACTCCGTATCACAAAGGAAATCGGCGAATAGTGCCCCAGAATTGTTCCTTTTTTCAAGGTCACGGGAAAGTAGTTGACATTCATGACCCTGACCGGCACAACTTCATCAACACGCAACAGGGTCTTTCCCAGTGCGATTCCTCATCCAATTTTCTCATCGTGTATCTTGGGCTTGAACATTACCACCTTGCCGCTGCTCGCACTCCCGTCCAAGCGAACCCACAGGATGATTTCAGCCCTTTCAGGTACATACACGTCTTCAGCCAACAGGACCCGGATCGTCTCTTCGCATCTTCCATGAAGCACCAGCTCTTCTCCGCCGACACGTAGGACGCCATCTTGAAAATTCAGCTCAAACCCTCTGGAACTCATAATGTCCATTCCAATAATCGCATCGTTCTCGATATCCGCCACCAATGCACGATGGTTCAATCTAGTGCTGCCCAACACCAATTCAATTGGTAGTTCTCCAAGTACAGTGGCTAGCTCCCCTGTTGCGATGCGTAGCTTCCAGCTTGACGGTTCAATTCTTGCCGATGCTTTGGCAAAGGTTGGCCCAAGAATGGTTCTCGTCGCACCTGTATCTAGCAGCTTGGTGCAAGGCTCGTTGTTGATGAGGCCGTCTACGAAAACACCTTTGTCTTGTCGTTGGAGAACGGCAACATATGCGTTTTTTACGGAGACTTGCTGAGTACAGGCGGACGATTGCCCCTCCTCATTGACCCCCTTCAGTTTTCCAGATTTGGTGTCGATTCTTTGAAAGCTGGACATTTGCTACGCACATGTCCAATTTTCCCACAGTTCCAGCATTTTATTTGTTTTCTCTCAGGCAACACTTCTTTTATTACTTTTCTGATGGTGGCCTCAATATCAGCAGGCACTTGTCCATCTTTCACGAAAGCTCAGGATAAGCTAGCGTCAAGGCCTGCCTCGTTTCTTGATCGCGAAGTCCATCCAAGAATGCCTGAACTGCTAACCGCTCCATTACATTTTCCGGTGTAGCAGGATATGCCAGACGAACCAATCGAGTTATATCGGCTTCGAACTCCTCTAGAGATTCTCCTGATTTCTGGCAGCGGTTCTTCAGCTGTGAATGGTAAACGTGTTCTAGGTGTGCCTGTCCATACCGTAGCTCAAGAGGCTTTATGAGTTGGTCATAGTCTTCCAGTTCTTGGGCCGTGAGGGTTTGCAAAATATTCGTTGCTTCTCCACGCAACGCCAGTGTTGATGCTACCGCCTTTTCTCCTCCATTCTATCCATTCGCTCTGGCCGCAGCTTTGAATTGTCGGCGGTAATTTGCCCAAGGAGTTTTTTCGTCGAACTGTGGCGGTTTCATGCAGAGCTTTCCTGGTTCAGAACTGACTTTGATATCTTTCAGTTTTGGAATTGAGTTTTCAGTAACCGTTTTTGTGGGGTGGGCAGAATTAACGATTTGGTTTCGCAACTTGCTAATTGTTTCCTTTATCTCGCTGATTTCTGTCTGAACTCCGCCTGTGATTTCCTGATTTTATCTATCTCTGTCTCGATGGTTCCTATCGTTTCTTAGAGTAGGCTCGCCACACTACTTCAAGCCTTCTGTATTCTCTAGAAATTCTTCCTTCAAGCTATTCGAATTCTCTAGGAATTTATCTTCCAAACTTTTCGAATTTTCCAGAAGCTTGTCTTCCAAACTCTTCGAATTTTCTAGAAATGTATCTTCCAAGCTTTTCACATTTTCCAGAAGCTTCTCTTCAAGGCTTACCGAATTTTGTTGAAGTCCATCGAGTTTGCTCAGTATTGAATTCAAATCACCCCCAGAAACTTCGAATAAATATGTTTCCGGATCTTCTCCTGATTCAATCAAGTTATCCCATAATCTCTTCTGAAATACTGATTTTTTTCCGGAAGAATCACCAGTCTCTACGCGAACAAATAAGTCTTATAGTCAATTTCACCGTAATACAAAGAGTGTCCACCAAGCGCTCACAAATTTATTTCGAAAATCAACTTCTGATCACCAATTGTAACGAATTAAAGAATTTATTGTCCTGAACAAATTTATTTATAACAATATTTCAGTATTGCAAACTAATTCATTTACAACACTTACCACTCAATTTATTTTCACTGTTTGAATTCTTTATTTTCTGCTCTATCTACTGGTCTCTGCACTCGCCTAGTATTTTTTCGGCGAGTCAGACTGCTTCTTTCGCGGTGATGTCATGTTTATTCGCTAGGTGAGATATCGGTCAGGGCCGGCTTCAGATTCATTACAGTACTATATAGAAGTAATTTCGCGAAAGTATCAGCTTCACCACCTATCTCATCACTAATAAATGAAAATTTCACTTAGTTCATATTGTAGACACTGAAATAACAAAAATATAAATGTCGTCAAAGGGGTGATAGACATATTTTATATCCAGTAATACTTGGTGATGTTAATCTTGAACTAGATGAAATCGATGTTTTGAGGTTACTTTTTTCCTTTTGTTGGAAAAAGAGGTCACTTCGAATAAAGTATGAAATTTTAAAGTGATGCCTAATTTCGAAATGGAAATTGTACTCTGGATATAAAAATTTGACCAGATTTGTTTCAGCTCTGACTTTTCTTTTGGTGAGTGTCAGATTATAAAGACAATTCATTTGCAGATGTTGTTGTTTTTTTTTAAGGACAAAATAAAAGCACTACAGGAGAATCATTAAGGTGCTCTCAGAACGGTGTCTGTGCAAAAGTAGCGATTCACATTGTATTTAAATCGCTGGAGATTATATTCATTTGGAAAAACGTTTTCAGAAAGTTTATTTCTCATGAATGAAGTTCTTCAGATGAAAGAGTTCTCAAAGAGTGATGTTCGAGGTGTACTGAGTTGAACCTAAAAACGATGAGCAGCCATAGTCCGTTGCGTATTGCTGATATGTACCGCTCTTGGTGGAATCAAATGTGCTAAGTCCCTTGAACACCTTCCGTGAAAGTATCTATAGAAGACAGACAAATCTCCAACCTTTCTTCGATGTTCCAGGCTATCAAGGTTGCACCTGATCTAGGCGTCTCCAGGCGGATGGCTCTTTTCTGGATGGAATCCAGAAACTTCAGGGCATGTTTGGGAGCAGAGCTCCATACTTGAGAGCAATACTCCAAAGAAGGTCTGATCTGAGCTTTATAAAGCATCAAAAGTTGCTGAGGTGTGTACAGTTCTCTGGTCCGGAACAGTGTTCCAAGCTTTGGAGATGTAGCCTTTGCAATTCCAGCGATATGATTGTGCCGAGACATATTGGTGTCCATTTTAACCCCTAACAAGCTTATCGAAGCAGAAAGCGGAATTGTCTGACCTAATATTAGTATATCTGGTTCAAAGACATTTATCTTCTTGAAGAAAACTGATGCCTGGTTTTTGTTGCATTGAATTGAACCTGGTTACTTTCACCCCAATTCGAAATCACTTTCAAATCCTCATTAATCTTAATGAGGATTGCATATCTATGCAACCTCCTGCTGTCGGTACACCAAATCATTATCTGAGTAAAGTCCATGATGTTTCTGTTATTTCTGTCACTACTCGGTCTATTAGTAACTGTAGTAATCATGCAAATTCATTGCATACTATGGTAGAAGAACCCAGAAGACTGTCAGAATCTCAACCCTAACTTTTAATTCCATCCTACTTCCATCTTTGGAATCGACGTTGTCTCGGAAACAACTGCATGCTGCCTAAGCCAATGGTATCTCACCGGGCGACCCTCTGTAAGTCCAGCACCTATCAATCGAATCAGAAACTGAAATGAACCAATAGAAGTAAAGATTGTATATTGGGTGAACTGGAAGTACGAAAAGTTACAATGACTTACAACCAACCCAATTAATAAAAAGTTAGATCAATTGAAACTTCAATTTGGGACTCCAAATTTCAATTCGTAATCAACTAAACAGAAAATTATTTAAATTTATAGTACAAATTTCTTTTCAGCTCCCTATATTACACCATGTAGAAAAAGCGATCCAAATCTAAACGAATGTGCAAAACAACGAGGAAATGATGCGATCCTATTTTTGATAAGAGGTATGTAATGAAATATGTAATGAATTTTCTCTGTATAAATATTTTTTAATGCTCAACAGTTGGCCTCTATGTGAGATATATGTAGGTCAATAACATGAGTAAAGGACAACCTCTTTCCTTTTGTCATCTGCTACTCTAAACCTATCCAATTTGAGAGAAGTCCACTGTCACTTGGACTTTTTCCATTTTTTTTTATTTTTTCTTTCGTTCTATCGATTCGAACGAACATTGATTCAAATTTTATAATTTTGATGAATACGAGACTCCAATGTCATATCTTGCCCTGAAAATACCCGCATTGGCCTGTTACCAGAGAAAGAAATTAATACACCTTCAGAAATTATCACACCAATAGGTGGTTCCACTTATGTTTCGCTTGCGTTCACGCAGCTATTTTTGTCAAGTACTTTCTTGGTTTTTCTCATTTTGTCTTCAATCGATGACCGCCTGCCCGGTACCGACGATGCCCAATAGGCTGAAACAGCTATCTACCGGTGGCTCTTAAATTGAAATCAATATGGGAATGATCAAAAAGTACGTATCTATTTCTTCGAAACCATGCGAATTCCTTTCATCAATTTATCGGTATATTTTTCAGAATGTGTAACAAATGTAACACATGTTGTTCGTAACACTTTTCGAGCATTGTTTCAAATGCTATTCAACAAAGTAGTTATGTATAACAAATTCAACTGCATATTTGCAAATACAATTTTTCTGTAAACATGTATATAGGATTTGATTTCAATTGATGAATTCCAGTGATTTTTTTCAGGTGATAAAGCTTACAAGATACCCAGTTTTGATCCAGCACATATTTCTCTTGTTGACGTAGATCAAGGTGAACTGAAGTTCAAGTTGAAAGATATGCATATGACCGGTTTGAACACTACTCAAATTCTGGATGCTAAGTAAGTAAATTTGTATTCGTATTTTACGAAATGAAGAATATTCAACTAGGTAATCCCAAAATTTTCTGTAATTTTAATAAAAGTGTTTTCGTAAATTTTGAGAGTAGAGGAAGGACTAGTTATAACAAGGACGACTAGACCAGCTATAATTGTAGCATTCTAAATCCAAAACAGCTGAATGTCTTTGTCATTTTGGTTTTCATTCCTACTTTATGGCAATATTATAATACTGTTAGCCTTCAACAGAATAGAATATAATCTATTTTACGAGAAAAAACCAGAAACACTTGATGATGGTGTTTTTAACAGTTCGATTCAAAATAATCTGAATGTATTCTGTGATTTGAGCTATGAAAGTTCCATTGGAATATTTTCACAAGATAGTATTTTATACGGTACTATTGTTCTTCATGATGATAATTGTTTCCATTCGAAAAACATGTTACAAACGAATTTCATAATCTAGGATACACGTCAAAAACATATGAACATTTTCTTCTTGTTGTCCCTAAATTAACTTTGATAAAAAGTTCACTGTTTCATAATAAAATCACATTCCCTAGAAATTTAGAAGTAACAGCACATATAAGTTCTTTAGAAAAATTGTCAAAGAGACTCTTTAGGAATAAGCAACAATTCTACAATAAAGCTCTGCTGTGATATTTGCATTGTTATTCTACATAAAATGTTTTTCATACAATGTTTAATAGGCACTCAAATAGTGCATTTCTTTAATGCCCCCCCCTTTTATTTTTTGATGGGGTAAACTCAAAAAATTGAAATTTGGGATAATGAAATTAATCAAAAAATCAAATTCAAATCAAAATCAAATTTATTTATTCCATGTTAATATACAATTTGTTGTATGACATACATAATTAATAAATTTCAATTATCTTGAATGAGTAACTTTCACCTAGACATTGAAATGCCTGTATTGTGATCTGTTACTCACCAAGATAAGAGCTCAGTAAGTACATTATTTCTTGTATAGAGGTATTTTGATATTTAAATTCTCGATTGCTCTAGTTCTTACCGTTATATGTGTTGAGTAATTACTAAATTTCGGGAACATCCATATTAGACACAGGTAACTGTATAATGATCTTACGTTTAGTAATTTAGTCTCTTGATATAAATGATCCGTTGAAAATCGTCTATTTTTTTTCAAAATTATTTTCAAAATTGAGTTCTGTGTTATTTGTAAGCTGTTAATGTGGTTGTCGAAAGTACCCCCCCATGATGTCATGCAATATCTTATAATGGATTCTGCCAAAGACTGATATATTAATAATAGGTTTTTTTTTTAGAAAGAATATCTCTGAGACTATAAAATTTACGCATGAGTAGCATGCATGAATACTTCATTTTGAAGTGAAATTGACAGATGAAACTTTCAACATAGCGAATGGGCACCATCTGGGAAAAAAATTAAATGAAAAGGGGGGTCAATATCTCTATAAATATTTATTATTCTCTGCTGTATATCCAGTATTGACGCAGGTTCAGTTTCATATACCTTTTGCTTCGAACAGCCCCATAAAAAAAGTCCAAAGGTGTCAAATTTGGCAAGCGGGCTGGTCATTCTGTAGGACCTCGACGGTCCTACAGAATGTATCCCAATAGTTTCTTACTTGTCTGGAGTAATGTGGTGGTGCTCCATCTTGTTGAAGTAGAATATCCATATCGAAATCATTAGGATTTGCTTCGAGGATTTCAGTGATGAGAAGGTCAACAGTAGTTTTCAGCATATTAAAATATAGTTCTCCTGTTGAATTTTGATCAATAAATAGAGGTCCTACAATATGGTTTCCCAATATTGATAGATTGTTGACGTGGTAACTTTCTACTGGTAAAACCGAAAACTATATGAGAATATTGTAACTGAACAATGATGTTCATTGTCGTACCGACATTTTTTGTCGTTTTTATAAACAAAAAATAACTCAACAAACCTTATCAAGTCGTTAGAATTGCCATATGCTAGATAAAAAGGAATATTTCTAGAAATATCGATATTAATATATTTGTCCTCAGGAAATTATTAAATGTTCCGCCATTTTGTAGTAGCTGAAGATATTGATTTCATATTCCAGGGTTGTGAAATATTCGTCAGGAGCTTCAAGATGAATCAGAGGACTCCCCTTTTCATTCAATTGTATTTTCCCAGATGGCGCCAAGTCGCCATCTTGAAAGTTTCATCAGTCAATTTCACTTCAAAATAAAGTATTCATAAATTAATTTCATTGTCCCAAATTTCAATTTTTCGAGTTCATCCGTTCAAAAAATAAAAGAGAGGGACATTTAAGAAATGCACTGTATATTTATCACATATAGTCAGTGGGAATACATGAACACTGACTATCATTTGCCTCAGCAGTCCTTCAAATGAACTAACGCGAAATTTCCCAGAGGCAGTTGTTATCGGTTTTCAAAATAATTTGTATGCCTTTTCTGTCACTTCCAAAGCTGCTTCTGGTAATACCATGAATAATTCAAACAAAATAACACGACTCTTCAATTGAATCATCAAATTTCGAAATTTGAATTTTAGTGGTAGAAAGACAGTTTGGTCAGTTCCTTCCATAACATTTTTTGCTTCTTCTAAATTTTCATCGCATTCCTGATTTGGATGTCACTCACACAGGAACCTTAAATGAAATCACAGTGAAATAAAATATAAGTAAAAAATAGAATAGACTGAATATAATAGACTAAAGGAGAATATACTAAAAGAGGAATCATCAAAACTCTATTAGACCGTACTTCCGGGCTCTGTAATACGAAGGAAGGTATCGAGAAGTAACTGGGCATCATCAAAAAAGATCTTCAAGGGAATGGCTACTCCAAAGCGATGGCGAAACAGACTTTGACTGAAAGACATGAAGAGCCTCGCAAGAAAGAGAACCCGTCATAACCAGTGCTTGTACTTCCCTACATCAGAGGATTATCGGAAAGGATAAAAAGAATTGGGTCCAAGTACAACATCAGAACCAGCTTCAGATCTAGGAACACTATCCGTAGAAGCCTCACGAAAACCAGGCCACCAAACGGGGATTGCGATTCCAAAAATTGCATTTACCGGATACCCTGTGAGTGCAGAAAAATCATATATCGGTGAAACTAAGAGGCCGTTAGAAGTTCGCATTGCCGAGCACAAAAAACACATACAGCGAGGAGAAACCAACAAATCAGGAAAAGCAGAGCATGTTTGGACCCATCAACTCACATCGAGGGGTCCCAAGTTGAGATGATACACAGGGAGGAGGAAATTCAAAGAAGCCTCATACATGTTGTCCAATAATGTATTCAGCCAAGCTAGCGTAGAGATACGCAACATATGAAAACCCATAATCAAGCGAAAATGGATAACTCCCCCCAAACGGTCATCTCCCTAGAAACCGGTGAAGCGGAAAGAGAAAAGAGGAGACAGGTGAAAGTACTTGAATGACCCGTAAATAGTCATCTCTCGGAGGGATTACTCCAGGCATCACCCGAAGATGCTTGTGGATACTAAAAATCGAAACGTCGCAAAGTAACTTGGAATCTCATAACTTATTTTTTTTGTTCAATTTTTCTATATTTCTTACTTGTATTTTATTTCACTCTAATTTCATTTCAGGGTTTTTTTCACTTGCTTAAATTGTTATTTTCAGTTATTCTTCTGAATTTTTAAAGTGTATCTGTTCTTTAGGGGATTTCAAATCATTTTTACATGCTTTATATTAGCTTCACCTGTATGTATGTATGTATGTTTGCTTGCTTTGCTTGTTTGCTTGCTCCCAAGCTGGAGATCTGTATTGACAGAATTATCGACATTATCATTGCTTGTTCTATTCACGGGCAGATGGCGCTGTACGTAACCTACTTGAGAGGTTGTTCAAAAGAAAATCAAAATGAAAAATGGATTTTAAGAATTATAAGCGAAATTTTGTACTACAGATGAAATATTTAGATATTTAAATATTTTCAATTACCCGTGATTTAATACAGAAAAAAATTTCGAACGAAACGAAAGAAACATTTCAACATCTAATTCGAAAGTAAACCAGAATATGGATTTCAACAATGAAATAGTAATCGTAAAATGTACACCTAAAAAAATCAGTTACTTAAATATTTCAAAAAATCGAAAAATTGGAATTAAAGTGCTTGGCATTACATATCAAATCAATAGATTGATTTGAAAAATAAATATAATTTGAAAAACTAAAAAACACGCGTTTGTAGCATATGAAACTAAAAAGTAAAAAATAAATATAGTTTGAAAAAACTAAAAAACACGCTTTCAAAGAACATCGAACTAAAAAGTAAAAATAAATATAGTTTATAATAACTAGAAAACACGCTTTTGAAGAACATCGAACTAAAAATTAATTATTTTTTCAAATAAGCTTAAAACAATAACGATCGAAAAATACTAGTACACACTTTAGTATTATATGGCACAAAGCGACGGGCGCTTTGTGCCATATTTTTTGTATATCTTGCGCCCACGTTTTTTCACAATAATACTAGTATTTTTCGATCGTTATTGTTTTAGGCTTATTAAAAAAAATTATTTTTAACTTTTTAGTTCGATGTTCTTCAAAAGCGTGTTTTTCAGTTTTTTTAAACCATATTTTTATAATATCAGACAATGGAAGTCCAAACTAATTAAATTTCAAAGATACATTTTCATCAATAACTTGTTTGAGAGCAATTTCATGTTAATTTCCACGGCATCAAACTATGCAGGTAGGAACCTCGGGAAAAAAATCAATAGATTTTGTTGGTCAATTTTTTTTGTTTATTGGTTGAGTTATCAGTGCTTATGTTTTCAAGATTTTTAATCAAATGAGAATATTTTCAACCTAATTAGCCGTGGAAAAATCAAAGTGAACGATGGTAATATTTTTCAGCCAAATGAATATACCTTCGTACCTTTGAATGTCGAGATCAATAATTGATAACCTATCAGTTACCACCACTTTCATGATATTCTGTTATTCATCTCAAAA